CAAAAAGGGCTCCTGATGTAGGTTAGTGGATTCAATCCTTAGTACAGGGGTTGGGGTTGGAGGATTGGGGGAATGTGGTCAGGGAAGAAAATGACAGGACATAGAAAGCATGATCAGAGGACAAACAAGTCAGTGTTTGACTCAGAAGCCAAGACTTGGATGTGGCTCAAGCCCTCAAATACTGCAGACTAGACAGTAGATGAACTGAAAATAAGCTTCAGAACGTAACAGGTGACTGAGAAATCACTAGACCTTATAGAAAGGCATTCTAGTTCAGATTCTGTTTAGATTTTAATGAGTTGAACAAACATGACTTTAGATAGGGAAAGTAGTTGTATAGACCAGAGGTCATAAATTGATGCTAAGAAACCTGTTCAGTTGATTTCTCTGTCACTTTTATTTCTTCTTTTTATGTTACAGGGGATTAAACTCAGTGGCTCTCTACCACTGAGCCCTCTAACCTCCAGCCCTATAAACTGAAACAGGGTCTAAGTGGCAGAGGCTGGCCTTAAATTTGAGAACCACCTACCTCAGCCTCCTGAGTGGGTAGAATTACAAGCATGTACCTTCATACTGAATTCATCACTTTTTTTCCCCCTACTTGTCAATAATTGAGCTCAACTGCTTGTACTACATAGAAACTTAAGTTTAATGTTAGAGCAGATTATGTGAAGGGAGTGCAGGAAAAGCAGAAGATAGGGTAATAATTTAAAAAGTTTCAAAGGGTATGGGGTTGTGGCTCAGTGGTAGAGTGCTTGCTTAGCATGTATGAGGTACTGGGTTCGAGTTTCAGCACTATGTAAATAAATAAAAATAAAGGTCCATCAACTAGAAAAAATATTTTTTTAAAAAGTATGTGGACAGGGGCTGGGATTATGGCTCAGTGGTAGATTGCTCACCTAGCACGCGCAGGGCCCTGGGTTCTATCCTCAGCACCACATAAAACTAAATGTTTGGAATAAAGGTATTGTGTCCAACTACAACCAAAGAAATATATATATATATTTAAAAAGTATGTGGACAGGGGCTGGGTCTGCGGCTCAGCAGTAGAGCACTTGCCTGGCACGTGCAGGGTGCTGGGTTCAACCCTCAGCACCACATAAAAATGAATAAATAAAATAAAGGTATTGTGTTCAACTAAAAAAAAATTAAAAAAAAGTAAGGAGACAATTCCTTAAAAAAAAAAAGGAGTTTCAAGGGATTATTTTTTTGAGGGGGGCGGAGAGGATAGGAAGAAGATAAACATTAAATAAAGGGGTGTGTCCTAAGAAACAGATACAGGGAAATTTTGTTGGTTCCTGTCAGAACACTGCTTTGGGGGGCAGCATTTGGAGGAAGAAATAAACAATATCCTCACAAGGCAATAGATGGCGCAAGAGGTCCAGGTTGTTGGTGGTTCCTGCTTTTCCCTTCATGCTTCCTGGATCTGGAATTGAATTAGAATCCTGAAGCAGTGTTTTAGGCTGTTTTGTCTTTAGGGATACACTGAAGACAAAAAGTTCTTTTATTTTTAGTACTGGAATTGAACCCAGGGTGATTTACGACTGAGCTACATCTCCAGTCTTTTGTTTTGTTTTGTTTTGTTTTTTGAGACAGGGTCTTGCAAAGCTATTGAGGTTGGACTTGACTTGCCATTCTCCTGCCACAGTTTTCTTGAGTTGCTGGGATACACACATGTGCCACAGTGTCCAGCTATGCTTTCCTTTGTTGTACAGTCTTTTACAAGATTCCCTGTCCATTCAGTATCCACTAGACCTGCCCTTTCTGATTATGGTTTTCCAAAAACCCCCTCTTCTGGAGTAGTCATCTAAATCCGCAAAAACCCAAAATTCATTCTCTTTTTCTGTGACTACTGGGCAATGTACTCTTTCCAAGTAGTCTTTCAGGATGTGAAGGCGATCTGGCTGCGACATTGATCACCAGTGTTGATTTGGCTTATCTGGATGGCTAGGTGGATGTTCCATTCCACCCTCACAGCTCCATGTGTGCTGGGTGAAGGAGGACGACTTTCCCTGATAGAGAAGGATGGTTTTTAGGTCAAGGGTAGCTGTGCTTCCCTGCTAGAACCTCCAGACAAGATCTCAAGGTCCAAATAGTCTTTTGGAGGGAGTTTAACCTCAAACATGCAGTGGCAATTCGAGGTCTCTCTTGATGGTGAATAAAAGGAAAATCTGGGAGCAGTTCTGTTTCTTTACTCCTTGATAAAGGATAATGTGCTAAACAAGGCTAGACTCTGAAGTGAGGAGTACAAAGTGAGTCATTGCTGAGGCCACCTGTATTAAACTGGGCTGTTTGCCAAGAGTACAGGAAGAACCAGTTGTCCTCTTGTGATGTCAGCTGGAGGTCCAATTATATGTGGCCCACATTTAGTAAATCCTTATGAAGGCAATCAGTTGGAATACAAGTGCTTGTCTTCAAAAATGATTACATAATTGCTTTGACCTCAGGAAGCAACTTCATCTTAGTTTTTCTTTTGGTACTAGGGATTGAACCCAGGGGCGCTTAACCAGTGAGTCAAATCCCCAGCCCTTTTTATTTTTTACATAGGGTCTTCGTAAGTTGTTAAGACTACCCTTGAACTTCTGATCCTCAAGCCTTAGCCTCCGAAATGGCTGGGATTACAGGCATGTACCATAGCATAGCTCTTGGCCATCTTAAGTTTCTTCACTGGTAAAATGAATATATCACTTACTAACTGGCTAGGGGTGGGCTACACAGGACAGATGCCTAGTGCAATGCTGTCACAATTGGCTGTTTTTTTTGGATTTGTGCAGACACAAACATGACTGACTCTCACCTCTGGCTACATTTGACATCCTTATGGTTATTTCTTCCCCATCACCTACTTCTCACATAGGGTAATTAGCAATATTTTGGGTTTGCCAGGTGCGGTGGCACATGCCTGTAATCCCAGTGGCTCTAGAGGCTGAGGCAGGAGGATGAGTTTGAAGCCAACCTCAGCAATTTATAGAGGCCTTAAGCAACATAGGGAGACCTGGTCTCTAAATAAAAAAAGGCTGGAAATGTGTCTCAGTGGCTTAAGTGCCCCTAGGTTCAATCTCCAGTACTGAAAAAAAAAAAAAAATTTTTTTTTTTTTTTGGCTTTGTTTACCTGTTATTTTTGTGGTGCTGGGGATTGAATTCAGGGCAAACACATGCTAGGTAAGTGCTCTACCACTAAGCTATAATCCCAGCCTCTTGGATATAATTTTTAAGCAGGCTTTCATCTTTTGGAATAGAGCATAAAAAATAAATAACACATTCCAGAAGGCTTGGCATTTTAAACTTCTAATATATTTTAATAATTAATGTTGATGGTAAGACTGATATACAATGCAATTATTTATTTTACATGGAGATTCTGTACATCAGGGCAGCATCTTGAAGTACAACATACAGCTTTTATTTCTTCTTTTACATTATGATTGTGAACTTCACATTTACACAGAAAGGGAACACAAATCCATTTTTATTTACATAAAAACTAAATAAACAATTGAACACATTTTACACCCAAAGTATCTTGTTTCTAAAGAACACAAATGAGATGAAAGATCAATCAGAATCCTTGGATGGCACATAGAAGGCAGACAAGTAGCTCAGGAGTCAAATTTTGTGTTAAGCTTGGCACATTAAGGGAAAGAAAGGCAGTCAAAGAAGGGTTTGAAAATGTCATTTCAAGTCAGAGAATGCAGGCACATGCCAAGCAGTTCCCAACCAACAAGACAGGACGGTTAAGAGTCAAGTTAGCAGTTTATCTGTGACCACCATATACCCAGACCTCTAACAGACTTAGTAGAATTCTCATGATTTTACCTCAATTACTCCAAATGTTAATGAACTTCAAAGAGATGTAGATCTAGTATTGTTCCATAGCCTTTATAAAACCTTTGACAGTAATTGAGAACTCCAACTCCCACCCCAATCCCTACACAGAGAGAAAATACTACCTTGTAAATTCACTTTGACTTTTTTGTTTTGACCTGATGGTCTCATTCTTCAGCAAATCTGATGTGAACATGAAAGAAGAAAAATCTACTCAAAAATTACATACAGAAAATGATAGATGCTGGGCGTGGTATCACACACCTGTAATCCCAGTGACTCAGGAGCTTGAGACAGGAGGACTGCAGTTAATGTGGTCCTCAACAACTTTGTGAGACCCTGTCTCAAAATATAAAAAAGGGGGGCTAGGGGTATAGCTTAGTTGATAGAGTGCTTGCCTCGCATGCACAAGGCCCTGGGTTCAATCCCCAGCACCACAAAAAATAAATAAAAAATAAAAAAGGGCTGGGCATGTAGCTCAGTGGTAAAGCACTCTTGGGTTCAATCTCTAGTACACCAAAACAAAGAAACAAACGAAAAATCAAGAACAAATGACAAGAGATCAGAAAGAAACCTATAAAACAGCTACAATTTCCTAAACATTACAGTGAAGAAAAAAGTCCACATTCATCAGTTAAATAAAAATGTCTCTTTCTTCCACTTACAGTGTGAATAGGAATAAAGAGGGAGATACTAAGTGGGATGAGGCTCAGTGGTAGAGCGCTTGCTTAGCATACAACATGAGGTCCTGGATTCAATCCCCAGTACCGCAAAAAAAAAGTACAGCTCAGTGGTAGAGTGCATGCCAGTCATTTGCAAGGCCCTGGTTTCAATCACCAGCACTGCAAATAAAATAAACTTGCATATGATTTCAGTGTGGTTACTGAGACTAAACTAGCCCAGTCCATTTAAATGAAATGTCCATTTAATTTAAATGAAAAAGAACCAGGCCCAGGGGTGCATACCTGTAATCCCAGCAATAGGAGGATCCCAAGTTCAAAACAAGCTTCAGCAATTTAGCAAGGGCATAAGCAACTTAGTGAAACCCTGTCTCACAATAAAAAAAAAAAAATAAAAAGAGCTAGGGATGTAGCTCAGGGGTAAAGCACCTCTGGGTTCAATCCCGAATCCCCCCCGCCCCCCACCACCACCACCACCAAAAAAAAAGAAGGAAATAGGATAACCAAACTTTTTATTTTAGGAAATTATACTAACATATATTACAATTACAAAATGGGGTGGGACTAAGCCATTTCCTAGGCACCAAAAACGCTGGCTACAGCGTGGAAAAGGAACAGTGAGTGAAGCTGCCAGAGAATGCCAGGAGAATAGTGTTAGAGTGAAGAGGGAATGTGCAGCAAGGAGAGGGCAAACGGCACTTAGAGAAGGGCAGTGAGCCATAACATGCCCCTCCTTTGTGGTTCTCCAAAGACATTTTCCCATGTAGCACCCCACATCCCTTAGGATCTTGCTGTGATTCTGGTTGGAAGTATGGGGGCTGAAACCAAACAAGTGCTCACCCAGCATGTCTACAACTCTGCTTTACTACTGGTTGAAGTGATTTACAGTATTTGGTACGATAAAAGTACAACAGCCTATAAAATTTAAACCACCAGTCAGCATTCTGCCAAGTTGGCATTAATGTTAAGGCCTTTTCTTGTTTTTATATACAAAAAAATATACACGCTTTCTCATTTGACCAACTTGCATTCTGGTTGCAGCTCAGACTTTAATGAACAGGAAAAACATAAGTCCCCATTACTTCTTTAAAATCATTTAAAAATAAAAATTAGGATGACAAGTGCCAAAAAGGAGGAACATGTCAGATCCTGAGCTTCCCCTCAGACGCGTGTGCCTGAAGAGAACTATATTGCTGTGTTACAAGAGGTATAGTGCAATGCTATCAATTGACATCCCAGTGTGGTATGAAGGCATCCTTTGGAAGTGGGGACCCCTTTTTCCAGAAGGCTGGGGCCTCTAGAAAATTTTCCCACAACCAATTATTTTTGAAGGCTGGAATTTAGTGCCTATACAAGTGGGTCTCACAATTAGGGCAGGGCAGGTAAGGCTAATGGTGCAAACTGTGCCTTAGCACAGGCAGTAATTTTGGGGCAAGGGTGTGGAAAAGTCAATAAAACTCAGAACCTGCCAGTGGCTCAGAACTTTGGTGGCTGGTGAGGGAAAACCCCTCAAGAATGTTGCTATATTAAAAAGTTCAAAAGTACTGATGAAGTGTTGGCTTTTGCCCCAGGGGCAGCACATGAGAATCCATTCCAGTGGAAGGCTACATTCATAGGAGTGCTGTTCACTCCAAAACCAGATCCCAGAGGATGCAATTCTGGCTATGCGGGGGAAGTGCTAAAGTTCCCTCCATAATGTCACTCTGGAAACAAGCAGCAAAGCAGTCCTGGTTTTTGGAGAAGTTGTTTAGTTCCTTTCTCAAACTTCAGCATTATGGACGATGGTAGCTAAAACAGATGATCAAAAGAAAGGTTACCAAATAATGTAGATAACTTTTCTTATATCAGTAGTAATGAAATATCATATTCTTTTTTATTTTTATTTTTTTGGTGCTGGGGATTGAACCCAGGGCCTTGGGCTTGCGAGACAAACCCTCTTACCAACTGAACTATACCCCAGCCCCTGAAATGTTATATTCTAATTAAAAAAAAAAAATGTTTCTTAGCTGGGTGTGGTGGTGCATGCTTATAATGCAACTGGGGAGGCTGAGGCAGGAGGAGCCCAAGTTCAAGACCACCCTCAACAACTAAGCAAGGCTCTAAGCAATTAGCAAGACTCCATCTCAAAATTAAAAACAGAAAGTGCTGGGATGTAGCTCAGTGGTAAAGACCCCTAGGTTCAATAGCCAGTAACCACCCCCCCAAAGTCTTTTTTCCACTTTTTTTAAAATGATTTTTTCTTTCTTTCTTTTTTTATTAATTTTATTATTATTATTTTTAAATATACGACAGCAGTGGAATGCATTACAATTCTTATTACACATATAGAGCATAATTTTTCGTATCTCTGTTTGTATATAAAGTATGTTGATACCCAATTCAAGTCTTCATACATGTACTTTGGATGGTAGCTAAAATAGATGCTCAAAAGAAAGGTTACCAAATAATGTAGATAACTTTTCTTATCAGTAGTAATGAAATATCATATTCTTTTTTTATTTTTTTGGTGCTGGGGATTGAACCCAGGGCCTTGGGCTTGTGAGACAAACCCTCTTACCAACTGAGCTATACCCCAGCCCCTGAAATGTTATATTCTTTTTTAATGTTTCTTAGCTGGGTTTGATGGTGCATGCTTATAATGCAGGAGGAGCCCAAGTTCAAGACCACCCTCAGCAACTAAGCAAGGCTCTAAGCAATTAGCAAGACCCCATCTCAAAATTAAAAATAGAAAGGGCTGAGATGTAGCTCAGTGGTAAAGACCCCTAGGTTCAACAGCCAATAACCACCCCGCCCCCCCAAAAAAGTCTTTTTTCCACTTTTTTTAAAATGATTTTTTTCTTTCTTTTTTTATTGATTTCATTATTATTTTAAAATATACGACAGCAGTGGAATGCATTACAATTCTTATTACACATATAGAGCACAATTTTTCGTATCTGTTTGTATATAAAGTATGTTGACACCCAATTCAAGTCTTCATACATGTACTTTGTATAATGATGTCCATCATATTCCACCATCCTTGCTAATCCCCTGCCCCCTCCCTTTCCCTCTCACCCCTCTCCCCCCCCCCCTTTTTCCACTCTTAATTCCCCTCAGTTGCATGTGACATGCGACACCCCTGCTCCCTCCACCCCCCCAGTACTGGATTAAGCCACATCCCTGGCCCTTTTTTTGTTATTTTATTTAGAGAGAGGGCCTTATAGAATTGCTTAGGGCCTTGAGAGGGCCTTATAGAGTTGCTTAGGGCCTTGCTAAGTTGCTGAGGCTGGCTTTGAACTCGTGATCCTCTTGCCTCAGCCTCCTGATGTTAGAATTCTCTCTCTCTTTTTTTTTGTGGTGCAGGGGATAGTGCTGGGTGTTGTGCATACTAGGCAAGCGCTCTAGCCCTGATCTACATCCTTAGTCCAGAGTTCTCCAACCTAAACAGCTCTGGTATGTTTGTTTGTTGGGGTAAATTTTACTTAGCTTATAGTTTTTGGGTCTTTTGGCTCTTACCGTGTGAAATGTTTGCTCTCTTCATGAACCTCCATCTCTGAGCTTTTAAATTCATTTAATTCTTTTCTAATAGCAGCCTGTAGGGTAGAAATAAAAAAGATTTTAGCATTTTCTGTCTGCTGTAGTACAGCACTATGATTTGCCATCTACTCCCTATTGTGCTTAACTTTGAGAGTCACTGAGTCCCTGACAGGCAACACAGAGGGAAGAAAATAAATCCAGGTCCACACATTAAGCCAAGCTCTGAACCTAACATACATCACATTAAGCCAAGCTCTGAACCTAACATACATCATTTTCTGACACAATTCATCTCACAATAAACCTAAAATGACAAGATAAATCCAAATATTGAAAACCCTGAAGAGAGATTTTAGTTTTATATTTTTCACAGCATGTAAAAATGCCTTTCCTACTGTAGAAGTTAATATGTGTGCCAGATGCAGTGGTGCAAGCCTGTAATACCAGCTACTTAGAAGGCCGAGGCAGGAAGACTAAAAGATCCAGATCAACCTGGGCAACTAAGAGATAACCTTGCGATAAATGTGTGTAATTACTGAACTATACCACTCCAAATCCATTCAACAAATGTGTTTTAATGCATCAGGCTCTGGATTCAATCACACACACACACACACACACACACACACAAATAAATAAAACAAAATTTAAAACATTTTGTTTCCTTCTAGTTTTTTTCACTTTGTGATACAGCAGGGATTTCCTCCTCTTCTTTCAATGCTGGTGGTGGAGTCATTAGTATAAGATTTTGGTTGTATACCCTGTGATTTTATATCTTGATTTGAAATTTAATATTATATCAAAACTAGCTTTATGGTTCCTTATTTTATTTAGTATCTGGCATCCTTCAAGTAAAGAAAAAAGAGAGCATGCTCTCAAATATGAAAGAAAATATGTTACATGTTTTACAGTTACCTTGTCAGCAGGAGTCAGCTTGGTCCAAGGTTTGTCAGCTCGCCGGTCATAATCTTGAGCATCTGTTACTTCCACGTATTCATTAAACCTCAGAATCTTCCTGGCAAGTAGTTCAGCCACAGTTGGCCTTTGACTGAGCTGAAAGAAATGGAATCTTTTAGTTCTCTATGCCAGGAATTAGCAATCACTTATGCATTCAAATTGCCTCTAAACTTTGTTTAATACTGGAATCACCTGGGGAGCTTTCACCATTATTAATTCTTGGGTATCATCCCCAGAATTTTTTCTTTTTAAGTAATTTCATTGCACGGCTAAGATTGAGAAACACTGCTAGAATCTGTGCTTCTCAAACATCAACATACATACAAATCCCCCCAGGGATCTGGTTAAAATGTAGATTCTAGGCTGAAAGTATAGTTCAGTGGTAAAGCTTAGCATACTTGAGGCCGTGACTTCAATCCCCAATACCAAAAACATTTTAGAATAAATAAATAAATAAATAAAATGGAGTCTCTTATTAATTGAGTCTTGGGTAGAGCCTGACATTAAGCATCTCTTAGAAAACCCCAGGTGATAATAATGATGCTGGTCCACAGATCACATTTTTGTTTTTTTGGTATGGGGGTTGAACCCAAGGGCACTCAACCACTGAGCCACATCCCTAGTCTTTTTTATCTGTTTATTTATTTATTTAGTTGCAGATGGACACAATATCTTTATTTATGTATTTTTAGGTGGTGGAGGGGATTGAACCCAGTGCCCCAAGCATGCTAGGCAAGCGCTCTACCACTAAGCCACTACCCCAGCCTCCTAGCCTTTTTTATATTTATTTAGAGGCAGGTTCTCGCTGATTTGCTTAAGTCCTCACTAAGTTGCTGTGGCTGGCTTTGAACTTGTGATCCTCCTGCCTCAGCCTCCCAAGCCGCTGGGATTGTAGGTGTGTGCCACCGTGCTACACTCCATGGACCACATTTTGAGTAGCAAGGCTCTTGTGCATTTCATTTCAGCATCAACAATACACAAAGTAGAGGATTCCTTAACAAACTGATTTAAGATTGCAGGTAACCTGCTCAATCTGAAGATGGCCTCTAATTATCAAAGATAATTCCTCCATTCCAGGAGAAAGGATGAAATAGGATAATTCCAGAAATGAATATCTAGATCCCTTGCTCTTCTGGGGATTCTTACAAATTTTAAGTAGTATTTGCCAGGCATGGTGGTGCATGCCTGTTATAACAGCACCTTGGAAGTCTGAGGCAACTTTGTGAGTGAGACCCATCTTAAAATTAAAAAAAAAAAAAAGTTCTGGGGAATGTGACTTAGTGGTTAATCCCTGGTACCCCAAACAAAGTTCCAGGCCACCTTGGACAATTTAGCAAGTCCTATCTCAAAATAAAATATAAAAATGGCTGGAGATGTAGCTCAGTGGTTGAGCACCCCAGGGTTCAATCTCTAGTACCACAAAAAACAAACAACAACAACAAAAAATTAGTTTGCTTTGTAAAACTGAATGCTACACTCTCCTCCTGTTATTGTCTCTACACAGCAACAAGTTTTAAGGGGTTGGGGGGTATGTACCTCAGTGTTAGAGCACTTTCGTAGCAGGTGCAACGCCCTGGGTTTTATTACCAGCATCACAAACCAAAATTCCCACACATATACAACAACAACAACAAAACACAAAACAAAACTGCACCACTTTTTATAGAGTATACATCAAAATCCCAAGTCCAAAAAGGTAACAATTATCAAACTCCTCCTTGTAAAGGTCTGTTTTAAACATTAAAAATCAAAGAAAAATTATGTATTATTTTCTACATATATAGCAAATTCATTATTTCCACAAATAAGTCATTCAAATCCAAGACAAAGTCAATAGGCAGATTGAAATCAACCACACAGGAAGCTGTACCTTTCTAGTGAGCCGACGTTTAATCTCTCGTTTCTCTGCCTGACGATCAGCTTCATTTTTAGCTACATTCGACAGTCAGAAACAAAGAATGAATATTACTTCAAAATGGCAATTTGCTTATCAAACATTTTGGTAATTATACCACAGATCTATCTATCTCACTCTTTCTTTCTTGTGGTACCGAAAACCAAACCCAGAGTCTCACAAATGCTAGATAAGTGCTCTACTACTAAGCTACATCCCTAGCACTTTTCATTTTCAGATAGGGATTATAGGTGTTAAGTTACCCTCTTATTTTAGCCTCCCTAGAAGTTGGGATTATAGGTGTGTGCCCCTGCACCCAACTAACCAAGACAATTTTTTTTCTTTTATTTTGGTACCAAGGAATCCAGGGGCATTAAACCAGTGAGCCATATTCACAACCCCTTTTTACTTTTTAAATTTTGAGACAGGGCCTTGCTAAGTTGCTTAGGGCCTCAGTAAATTGCTAAGGCTGGCTTTGAACTTGCAATACTCCTGCTCAAGCTTAATCCCTGGAGAGAGGGAGGGAGAGAGGATGGGTGGGGGGGGGGAGGGAGAGAGAGAGAGAAGAGAAGAGAAGAGAAGGGAAGAGAGAAAGAGAGAAAAGTCTCTACTTTTTTTTGATCATGCTGGAATTCAAACCCAGGGCTCTGAGTTTGCTAGGCAAGCATTCTACTACTGAGCTACATCCTCAGCCCTAGTCTTCACATTTTTTAACAGTTTTATATCTACCTAAAATATTCTCCATTATTCTATGGTTTGCAAAGCCAGAATATTTACTATGCACCTAAAAAAAAATGTAATTTTTTTTTTTAGGTGTAGATGGACACAACACAATGCCTTTATTTTTATGTGGTGCTGAGGATTGAACCTGGGTCCAGCCCATGCTACGCAAGTGCTCTACCGCTGAGCCACAATCCCAGCCCAATTTGTATTTTTGTAGTTGTAGATGCCAGCATGCCTTTATTTTATTTGTTTATTTTTATGTGGTGCTAAGGATTGAACTCAGGGCCTCACATGTGCTAGGCAATTGCTCGGCTACTGAGCTATAGCCCCAGCCCACTAAGAGCCATTTAAAAAAAAAATTTTCATATTTTTGCTCAAGAGTAACTGCTAAGAATGGACAAAAGAGATCACACCAAGTTTCAGATAATATGTTTATAAAGCCTCCCACACTTTATCTATCTATCTATCTATTTGTAGGTGGACACAACACCTCCATTTTATTTATTTATTTTTATGTGGTGCTGAAGATCGAACCCAGGGCCTTGAATGTGCTAGGCGAGCACTCACTGAGCCACAACCCCAGCCCAGCCTCCCACACTTTAAATTCACTAAGTGACTAAATTGTGTATACCTAAAAAGTATTATGAGAATGATCAGACTGAGCATCCCAACAAGCAATCCCAGGGAAGCCTGAACTGCTTCAAGGCTTCAGTAATGAGATTTTTCTAAACTTTGGAAAGACAAATCACATCTGTATTAAATTAGAATGCTATTTCAGGAAGTTAATTATATACATAGACAACAAATTAAATACATGGTCTTACTTAGGGGCTATGGAGGTAAAGACAGTCTTAATGACTGAAAGCAGCAGGAAAATTGCAATTCTAGGGACTTGCATCGGATTCCAAGCCCTCTGATTCTACTAGCACAAGAACGTCTCATTCACATGCACAGTTACTACAGTAGTTCCTTCCATGAAGACAGAGAAAAGTTGGGTCACATCTCTTATACACTGTCAAATGCCCAAAGCAATTTGAGGAAAATGTAAAAACATTAAAGCAAAAAGTTTTAGAGTATGATAATATACTAAACAATGCCATGTAGCTTTTTCCAAAGGAAGCTTGGGGGAACTCTGTTCCCACAGGGGAAAAATATTTTTCCCAGACTGAAACACTGTCTTCTTGGCCCTTTTAGCAAATACTTCTTTTATCTTTTATGTACATTAAAATAATACACATATAAAAGAATATCTGCATAATTTTATTTCCATAGCTGGACTTACGTTGCAGTATATTTCGTTGTTCTAGTTCTTCTGGTGTTGGTCTTTGACTCAGTCTCCTAAAAGGGAGATAAATGGGAATACTTATTGTCTCACTTAAAGCTCTTCTTTACAATGATTTTCTGGCCATAGTTTATATTAGCCCCTAAGCAAGTTAAAAAAAAAAAATCAATAAATTTCCAAATGGATATATTTCATTTTCTTATCCGATTATTTATGAAACAATTTCCACATTGAAAGTACTAAGTTGGGCCCATGGCACATGCAGTGGCTCGGGCCGCTGAGACCAGATCACAAGTTCAAAACCAGCCTCAGCAAGTCAATAAGGCCCTAAGAAATCAGCAAGACCCCGACTCTAAATAAAATATAGAATGGGCTAGGGATGTGGCTCAGTAGTTAAACACCCTTGAGTTCAATCCCTGGTACAAAAAAATAAAAAATGAAATAATAAAAATTAAAAAAAGAAAGTACTAATATAGAGCTAGAGATGTAGCTTAGTGGATAGCACTTGCCTGGTATAGGTGAGGCCCTGGGTTCAATCCCTAGCATTAAAGGCGGGGGGGGGGGGGAAGAAAAGACAAACTTGAAAGTATTAATATTACAGATATCATATTATATGACTTTTTTGGGGGGAGGGGGTAGTGCTGGGGATTGAACCCAATGCCTCACACATGCCAGGCCTGTGCTGAGCCACAACCTCAGCCTGGTAATCTTTATTATATAATATATATGTGCATGTGTATGTGTATTTGTTGTTGTTTGTTTTATTGAGATGGGATCTCATAATGTTGTCCTGGGCTCAAGTAAACCTTCTGCTTTAGCCTCTCAAGTAGCTGGACTATAAGCATGAATCACTATGACCAGCTGCTGTTTGGATTTTTAAGCAGTGGTTTAGGAGACACAGAAATTTAAGATGGTCTCCTCCTAGGTAATATTCTGTCATTATATGATTTTATTATATTTTTAGTTATGCTGGGGATTGAACTCAGGGTCTTCTGTATCCATCCCCAGCTCTCGTTAATTCTATGATTTTAATTTGTCTTCTCTGTGAAGTATTTGATAAGGTTTTTCATAGTTCTGATGATGTTACTAACCAATGACAACTTGTCATTTCTTTTTCTTTTAAATATTTTTTAGTTGTTGATAGACCTTTATTTATTTATATGCAGTGCCTCACACAAGCCAGGCGAGTGTGCTACCACAGAGCCACAGTCCCCACCCATTTCTGAATTCAGAAAGCTATTCATTTTTTAACTTTAATCTCAATATTTATCAGACAGCATTTCAGCTACTTGTTTTTTTTTTTTTTTTGTACCAGGGATTGAACCAGGGGCTCTTAACCAATAAATCACATCCCCAGTCCTTTTTATTTTGAGCCTTCCTAAATTGCTGAGATTGGCTTTGAACTTGAAATCCTGCCTCAACCTCTGGAGCTGCTGGGATTACAGGCATGCACCATCATGTCTGGCTCTACCTGCTAATTATTCAACTCTCCTAGACCCATTCTCTACACAATTTACATTATATATATATATAATCATTTTTTAGTACTGAGGATTAAACCCAGGGGCACTTAACCACTGAGCCATATCCCTAACCCCTTTTCTTTTTTATTTTGAGACAGGCTCTTACTAAGTTGCTTAGGGCCTCAGTAAATTGCTGAAGCTGGCTTTGAACTTGCAATCCTCCTACCTCAGCCTCCCAAAGTGCTGGGATTACAGCTGTGTGCCACGATGCCCAGCTTTTATGTTTAATTTTTAAAGAAACTGCCAAACTATTTTTCTGAAGTACTTCTACTACTTTACATTCCTACGACTAGTAGGTAAGAATTCAGTTGCTCCTTATTCTCCATAATTCTTGGTATTGCCAGTCTTTTATTGAATTGTTTAATTTTAGCAATCCTAGTGGATTTGTAGTGGTATCTCATTTTTTGTTTTTTAATTTAAATTGTTATTTTACAGTAGTATTCTCTTATCCATGCTTTTGCTTTTCAGGGATTCAGTTACCCAAGGTCAACCATGGTCCAAAAATAAATAAACATAGTTATATTTAGAAATAAACAATCAATAAATTTTAAATTGCATGCACTTTTAAAATCTTTAACTGTCCCACTCTCTCCCACCTGGAACATGAATCATGCTCTTTGTCGTGGGTATTATTCATCCATTAGTCACTTCTTAGCCATCTGGATTATGAGACTGACTGTCATGGTGTCATGGTGCTTCATGGTGTCATGGTGCTTGTGTTAAATGAAGTAACCTTTTTTTACTTAATAATAATTATAAATATAAGAGAAGTGATGCTGGTAAGAGTGTTTAATATGTGATCCAACCCCTTAACAGAGTGGTTGCTGGTTATATTGGGGATTAAACCCCAGGAGTGCTCTAACACTGAGCTACATTCCCAGCCCTTTTTAATTTTTTTTTTCTATTTTGAGACGTGATCTCACTAAGTTGCTCATACTGGCCTGTCTCCAGAGTCAATGGGATTATAAGGATGTATTACCATCCCCATGGGGCCTCCTAAGAGACTTAAAATTATAAACACAATGTTGTTCAGTAGTTCTTTAGAGATTATTCATCATCCATAAATAAAACTTTATATTGACTAGTGACTAGCTATTTTATACACTTCCACTGAGCACCTGGCAACACTATTCTGCTCTCTGCTTCTATGACCATTTTATTTTTTCTTCTATGACAATTTTAAATTCCGCAAAGAAGTGGGGTCATAGAGCATTTCTCCTTCTGTGACTGGTTTTTTTGTCTTGCAGTGCTGGGCCTGATGCATGCTAGGCAAACCCTCTACACTGAGCCATACTTCTAACCCTATGATTGGCTTATTTTGCTGAGCATAATGTTCTCAGGGTTTATCCACGTATATCCAATGTTGTTTTCTTTCTAAGGCTGAAGAATGTTCCACTGTGTACACTATATTTTCTTACTCCATTCTCCCCCATCAGTGAACATTTAAGTTTTCTCCATATTTCAGCTATTAAGAATACTGCTACCAATAAATAAATAAATAAACAAACAAATAAATAAGAATACTGCCACAATGAACATGGATTGCAATGCTGATTTCTCTCCAAGATCATGATTCTAATTTTTTCAAATAAATACCCAGAATATGGATTGCTGGATAATATGGAAGTTCAATTTTTAACCCTTTTTTTTGGTTGCTGGGGACTGATTCCAGGGCCTTGCATAAACTAGGCTATTTTAAATTTTTTGAGAAACCTCCATACTGTTTTCCACATGGGATGCATGAATTTGCATTCTGATCAACGGTTTATAAGGGTTCTAATTTCTCCATATCCTTGCCAACACTCGTCTTTTGTTTCTTAGAGAATAGCCAGCCTAACAGGTGAGAGGTGATCTCTCTTGTGGTTTTGATTTGCAATTCTGATGAATAGTGATGTTGAACATTTTTTCATATACCTGTTTGCCATTTGTATGTCTTATTCAGATTATGTGGTTTTAACTTGCATTTCCTTAATGAGTAATAATGTTGAGCCTCTTTTCATATGCTTATTTGCCTTCTATATATCTTCTTTGGTGATGTGTCTGTTAAAATCTTATGCCATTTTTTTTTCCAGTGTTGGGGATTGAACCCAGGACTTCAGGCATGCTGACCTGGACCTTTTTTATTGTCTTCTTATTCAGTTTTGAAAATCTTCATATTATAGATAAGAGACATTCATAAAATACATGATATGAAAAATCCTTTCCTGAACTCAGGGCATTTAACCACTGAGCCACATCTCCATCCCTATTTTGTATTTTATGTAGAGACAGGGTCTCACTGAGTTGCTTAGCACCTCACTTTTGCTGAGGCTGGCTTTAAATCTGCAATTCTCCTGCATTGCTATGATTACAAGTATGTGCTTTCACACCAAGCTTCTCTGAGTTTTTTTGTTTGTTTGTACCAGGGATATTTAACCACTGAGTCACACCCCCAGCCCTATTTTGTATTTTATTAAGAGACAGGGTCTCGGGGCTGGGGATGTGGCTCAAGTGGTAGCGTGCTTGCCTGGCATGCATGCGGCCCAGATTCGATCAGAACCACATACAAACAAAGATGTTGTGTCCGCCGAAAACTAAAAAAATAAATATTAACTCTCAATGTTAAAAAAAAAAAAAAAGAGAGAGACAGGGTCTCAATGAGTTGCTTAGCATCTTGTTTTTCTTGAGGCTGGCTTTGAACTTGATCCTCCTGCCTCAGTCTGCTGGGATTATAGGCATACTCCACCATACCTGGCTTTTTAAAATATTTTTCATTGTAAATAGACACAATACTTTTATTTTTATAATGGTGCTGAGGACTGAACCCAGTGCCTGAGGACTGAACCCATGCTAGACAAGTGCTCTACCACTAAGAAACAACCCCAGTTCTATTTCTATGAACTTCTGATTAGTTATTAGTAAAAATCAAGGGATGAACTAATAAGAAATTAGTTATTTGTCACTCCTACAAAAGTTGAAGGGACATGGTATCTGGGCAGTTACCTCTTTTCTGTGGCTAATTAGGTTAACAAGGTCCTACTGTTTAACTTATGCTATTCCAAGTGAAACAGCTTTCCATGAAAGCAGGCCCAGTCTAAAACTGGATAACAATAACAATGCCGTCCTTTATATGGACAGATGAAGGCACACTAGAGATGACTTTACCAGGACTTTGCCAGATGACTTTACTATTTAGAAGGAAGGACTATATCTGTGACTGTGTATATTGACTAATTTAAGTTTTCTGACAAAAACTGAGGAGAAGCACCGGGCATGGTGGCGTACACCTGTAATCCCAGCAGCTCAGGAGGCTGAGGCAGGAGAACTGCAAGTTCAAAGGCAGCCTCAGCAACCACAAGGCACTAAGCAACTCAGTGAAACCCCAAATTCAATCCCTGGTATCCCCCTCCCCGCCAAAAATTGGAATAAAGATGCCAGCACTATAATCCAAATGATTAGTACTAGGTAGAGTAGTTAGTTCTTAAAGTGATCCCACAACCAGCCGATGACTAGACCCCATCACAAAGCAAACACCTCCAGACATTGAGCTCAAAAACTTGTTTTTTAATTTCAAGCCTACAGGTGATTCAAACCTAAAAGATGAATGCTAAAGTAGAAAACAACTGACTTAGAGTTAATCAGAGTCACACACACACAAAAAAAGAAAAAAATTAATGTCTAATAATAGGGTTATGGTTCAATTAATTATACTATATTGATTCAATGGACTCATATGGTGACTATTAGTAATAATTACAAAGACTATATGGAAATAGGGAAAATCTTTATAATAAAAAAGTAATAGAAGTGCCATGTAAAACATGCACACAAAAACACTAGCAAAGAGAAAGGAATGTAACTCAGTTGCAAAATGCTTGCCTAACGTGTGTGAGACCCTGGTTCAATCCCTAGCACCACAAAACAAACAAAAATCACTGGGAAAGAATACAAAATATTGTAATTATTTATAGCCCCAATGGTCCAAATCCAACCTGAGATCTGCTTGTTTAGAGCCTGAACTTAAACAAACCACCACCACCACCATCATCATATCACCATCATTATCATTACTGATGCTGGGAGAGAACTCAGGGCCTTAAGCATGCTTAAGTAAGTGCTCTGCCACTGAGCTATTATCTGCCCCCCAGCCCTATTCTATTTATTTGTTTATTTTTTGGTACTAGGATTGAACCTGGGGCTATTTTACCACTGAGCTATAGCCCCAATGTTTTATTTTGAGACTGGGTCTCACTAAGCTGTTGAGGATCTCACAAAGTAGTTGAGGCTGACATTGAATTTGTGATACTCTGGCCTCAGCATCCCGAATTGCTGAAATTATAGGAATGATAGAAGGAAGACAACAATAAATAAATTAGAATAGCAGAAAATGAATAACCAGAATCTCATCATAAGGAAAAAATAAGACAAATTCAAATTTAGGGCACTCTAAAATACACAAATGAAATGGCTTAGGAATTGTTTCAGATTAAAGGACACCAAAAAGATATGACACCTAAATATAACACAATATGGTAGATTAGATAAATGCTATTAAAATGCTATTAAAGCTATTAGTAGCCATGCATGGTGGCACATACCTATAATCCCAGTGGCCTCAGAGGCTGAGGCAAGAGGATTGCAAGTTCAAAGCCAGCCTTAGCAAAAGTGAGGGGCTAAGCAACTCAGTGAAACCCTGACTCTACATAAAATACAAAATAGGGCTGGGGATGTGGCTCAGTGGTGGAGTGCCCCTGAGTTCAATCCCTGGTACTGCCCCCCCACCCCCCAAAAAAGGTATTATTAGGATGATTAATGATGTACTATGAATGTATTGGTATTAAATTTTTTGAATTTAATAAGTATTCTGTGGATATATAAGACAATGTCCTTCTTCATAGGAAATAACATGCAAAAGTAAAGCATTCTATTGTCTGCAATTTATTCTCAAATGGCTCAGGGGAAACAAAGGAATGTTATGTGTATAAAGCAAGAGTGAGCACAATAATCAATAAGGCAAATATGGAAATGTTAACACTTCTAGGTGAAGGGCATACAACAACATTTTTGTAATTTGAATTTCTTTTTTCTTCAAAATAAAATGAATGAATAAGTACAGATATTAAATTGCTGTACTTTAAATGTAAAGGGCCAAGTCTACCATCCTTTCCCTATGAAGAATTTCTGGTACTACACCCAGAAGCCCATCTATCCAAATCACTTTCAGATTGGTGATTTGTGTTATGGACACTGTCAGAGAAAGAAAAGCTTTCTATTTCCCTTCTCTCTAATCACCCTTAATTTCTTTTGCTTAGGGCCTTATTTAGTTCCTGAGGCTGGTCTCAAACTTGCAATCCTCCTGCCTTAGCCTCCCAAGTCACTAGGATTACAGGTGTGTGCCACCACACCCAGCCTAATCACCCTTAATTTCAACAGCAGTCAGACTGGCCATTATGCTTAAAAAAATACATCTCAGAGAATGATTTCAGGATCCAAAAAAATATCTATTGGAAGACCAAGGGCCAAACTTGTCTCTAGATGAGGCACATACAGTATAATCAAGATGTTTAAGATAGAAGAGAATACAATTTTATTAATGGATATCCTTAGCTAATTATTTTATGGAGAGAGTCCACCTTCTTATCCTCTCTCTACAGGGAGAAACATCTGTGCCAGGCAAACACCCATCTATTTGTCTGAACTCGAGTTTTGCATATGCAGGAAGCGGGTATGCATTTTGTTTTTGGTTCTAGTTGACTTAAAAAAACACACTAACATTCGGAACATGTGAAATAGAAATGATGAAAAATGTGCGTGTGATTAATTAGGTTTGCATTTCATGGTTCAGCAGCTAAATAAAAAATGGAAAAAGAGTTGCTATTCTGGGAACCACTCAGACTTCTCTTAACAACTTTGGCAAAACCATATATGTTATCTCATAGTTAGTGCTATCTGGTTCCTTAAAATTTCCAAATTCTTAGAGGCTATCCAACTGTGTCTAATATGTAGATTTTGTCTTTTCCTTTTTTGTTAATATTTTAGTTATAGTTGGATACAATACCTTTATTTTATTTATTTATGTTTATGTGGTGCACATGCTAGGCAAGCACTCTACCACTGAGCCATAACCCCAGTCCTCTTTTTTATTTTTATAATTTTTTTTTTTTAGAGCTGGGGTTGTAGCTCAGTGGTAGAGCCCTTGCCTCCTAGCACTGCATAAAAATAAACAAAGAAAAATAAAGATATTATGTCCATCTACAACTAAAAAAAATTTTTTTTGAAAGGAGGCAGTTACTTGGAACATGTGAAATAGAAATTATGTAACTCCCATTTAATAATATGTATTTTTAAAATTTATATCAAAGGGGCTGGGGTTGTAGCTCGGTGGTGGAGTGCTTGCTTCACATGCATGAGCCCCTAGTTCGATCCTCAGCACCACTTAAAAATAAATAAATAAAAATAAAGATATTGTATCCATCTACAACTAAAAAAAAAATTTAAAAAAATTATATTGAAGGCTGGGTGTGGTGGTGCACATCTGTAATCCCAGTGGCTCAGGAGGTTAAGGCAGGAAGATTATAAATTCAAACCTAGCCTCAGCAACTCAGTGAGGCCCTAAGCAACTCAGTGAGACCCTGTCTTTAAATAAAATATAAAAATGGCTGGGGATATGGGTCAGTGGTTAAGAGCCCTTTGATTCAATCCTCAATACAAAAAACAAAAATCCAACTAGTTTAGGCAAAGGCCTACCGGATCAGTGTGTTCCCAATCTGGTGCCGTATTTCATTCCATTCTTCCTTGCTTTTACGAGGCCAAGAATTCAAGTTCAACTCTGGTTCACTGGATCTGTGGTTCAACTTCATTGCCAGTGTATCTTTCCTCTTCACTTTGTTGGCCAGAGCACCTATAAATGAGGAGATAAAAAAGTGTAGAAGTTGGGCTGGGGATGTGGCTCAAGCGGTAGCGCGCTCGCCTGGCATGCGTGCGGCCCAGGTTCGATCCTCGGCACCACATGCAAACAAAGATGTTGTGTCCGCCGAAAAACTAAAAAATAAATATTAGGATTCTCTCTCTCTCTCACTCTCTCTTTAAAAAAAAAAAAAAAAGCATTTTCATTCACATAAGTTGCTTTTCTTTAAAAAAAAAAAAAAGTGTAGAAGCTTGAAACAAAGGTTCAATGTGGGGCTGTGGCTATGGCAGACCACTTGCCTAGTATGTGAGAGGCACTGGATTCGATCCTCAGCAGCACATAAAAATAAATAAAATGCTGTTGATCTTCAACTACCCAAAAAAAAAAAAAAAAAAAGAGGCTCAACATCATGGGGATCTGGGGAGGAGTCTGAATCAATGTAACTCCCAACTTCTTACTTGGCCTCAAATGATCCAGGGAAAACACAGAGGAGAGGAAAAGTGAAGACATGCAAAAATCTTTTCAGCCAGATGGATCTAGATGGCAAAAGATACCTTGTCTCTTTTATTAGCACTATTTTTCTCCTTAATAAAAACTGCCAGAGGGGCTGGGGTTGTGGCTGTGGCTCAGGTAGAGCGCTTGTCTAGCATGTATGAGGCCCTGGATTCGATCCTCAGCACCACATAAAAATAAATAAAATATTGTGTCCAACTACAACTAAAAATGAATAAACAAACAAATAAATAAATAAAAACTGCTAGAGGAGAGGAAATCTAAGCATAGGACAGTCATTTCAATTAAAATCTCAGTGTCTTTCACACTAACACCATCCTACAATTTTTTTCCCCCCAGTCCTGAAGACTGAACCTAGGACCTTGTGCATGCTAGCCAAATACTCCACCACTGAGCCATATCCCCAACCCTTTTCATTTCAAGACAGGATTTCACTAGGTTGCCCCAGCTGGCCTCGAATTTGGGATCCTTCTGCTTCAGTCTCCCACATAGCTGGAATTATAAGCATGTATCACCATGTTCAATTTTTCTTTTTTTTGAAATGAGGCTTTGCTACATTGCTCAGGCTGATCTCAAACTCTTGGGCTCAAGCAGTCTTCCCACCTCAACTTCCCAGGTAGAGGAAAACAGGTATATGCCGATGTGTCTAGCTAATTCATTTATTTATACGCTGTGCTGAGAATCGAACCCAGTGTTTCACACGTTAGGCAAGTGTTCTACCACTGAGCCTAACTCCAGCCCCCTAGTCTGTTTTTAAAGCTGCTTTGCTAATTTTAGAAATCAGGATTCCATATTTCACAATGATTTATAGGCATGAACACATTTTAAAATTTTTCTTTGCCCAATGACAATAAGTTCAGTTTACTGAAGAAAACTATCTCTTCAACTGAACCCCAGGTGCCAGTTTTTCTCTATCTGGTATTTTTTATTAGTATTATCAAGTTAAATAGGCTTCTTATTGATTGATTGATTGGTGCTGAAAACTGAACCCAGGGCCTGGAGCATGCTTGCTTGTTCCCTATCACCATTCCCTAGCTCCTCCCTGGGTGAATAGTTATGGTTTTAAAATAAAAAATAAAATCAAACTAAAGCTCAAATGGCTCAATCTACTTGGCTCCCTCTCAGGCACTCTATTTTTTAAAAATATTTATTTTTTAGTTCTAGGTGGACACAATATCTTTATTTTTTTTTTTTTTATGTGGTGCTGAGAATCGAATCCAGTGCCTCACGCATGCTAGGCAAGTGCGCTACCACTTAAGCCACATCCCCAGCCCACTCTTTTGTTTTTTAGTGCTGAGGGCTTAACCCAGGAGTGCTTTACCACTGAGCTTCATCCCCAGTTTGTCTGTTTGTTTTGCTGAGGCTCAATCCTCCTGTCTCCTGAATCATTGGTTTTATAGGTATGTGTTACTATGCCTGGCTGCTAGGGCTTTTTTTTTTTTTTTTGGTGATTGAATCCCATGTCTTACACATGATAGGCCAGTGCTCTAATTTACCAGGGGTTGAAACCAGGGGTGCTTAACCACCGAGCAACATCCCCACCCCTTTATATTTTTTATTTTGCAACAGGGTCTCACTAAGTTGCTGAGGCTGGTTTTGAACATGCGATTCCCCTGAGCTGCTGGGATTATAGGTGTATGCTACTGCATCCAGCCCCAGACCTTTTTTTGTTTGGTACTGCGGATTGAACCCAGGGGTGCTCACCCACTGAGCCACATTCCCAGTCCTTCTTTATATTTAGAGACACAGTCTCGCTAAGTTGCTCAGGACCTTGCTAAGTTGCTGGCTTTGAACTCAATGGTCCTCCTGCCTCAGCGTCCCTAGATGCTGAGATTATAGGCGTGCACCACTGCACCCAGTAGCCCTAGACCCTTTAAATTTTTTTTTTTTTTTTTGAGACAGGCTCTCACTAAATTTCTGAGTCTGATCTTGAACTTGTGATCCTCCAGCTTCATTCTACTAAGTAGGAGGGTTATAGGTGTGCGTCCAGTTCATGATTAATTTTAACTGAGGAATGACAGCAAGGATGAGTCCTTTACAGTGGCTTCCAATAATAGCTAATCAGATTATCTGACAGAAAAGATACTTGTTTCCATTCATCTTATTTGCAAATAGCTTTATCCATAAAATAATTTTCTTGGGCTGGGGTTGTGGCTCCGTGGTACAGTGCTTACCTAGCATGTGTGAGGCACTGGGTTTGATTCTCAGCACCACATATAAATAAATAAAATAAAAATTCCATTGACAACTAAAAAAATTAAAAAAAAAAAAAGAGAATTTTCTCTTTTGCTATTCCTTCCTTTCTTACTCTGATGGCTTTCATCTTCATCTTCTTCATCTCGATATTGAACAGGACCCTCTGAATCTGAGTCACTCTCCTTTTCTTCTTCCTCCTGCAGACACTGTGGTAATTTAGGAATGACTGAGGTAGATGCCACATCTTCAACAAATTCCAAAGGACAGGTTTGCTCCTCCTCTTCTTCATCGTCTGGACTAACAAATTCACATAATTATATTTTCTTTTCAGAAATAAAGATGATACTGGTTTGCAAGATAAAGAACTGAAATATCTATGGGAAAATCCATTAATGAAATAACGTATAAATCCCTCCTTTAGCTTTAACAACGATGCTAAGAAACTTTTAAACACCTATAATCTAAAGGACTCTGGGTTCAAATCCCAGCTCTACCACTTATTAGATATTGGCGCTTTCTAGAATTTGTTTAAATTTATTCTCACAGGCCTACAGAGAAGATATCATTCCCACTTATAGATAACTAAGAAACAGAAAGATCAAGTAACTTACACTTCAACACACTAGGAGTGGTAGAGCTGGGATTTGAATCCAGAGTTATCTCACTATATAAGGCAAGGCTCTTAAGTACCATGTAATATACTTCACCTTTGTATCTCATAAAAGTAGTGATTTTAATTTTCCTATATATAAACATATAATTTTTATGTCATCATGGAAATCTCTATGAAAAAAAAAGTTACAGAAATCACGGGGTAAAAAAAAGACCTTTTGGCAGAATACTCTTTGTACCTTAAATTTATTCAAATTTTCTTTTTTAAGTAATTTTGTATGTTTTTTTTTTTGTGTGTGTGGTGCTAAGGATTGCACCCAGGGCCTTGCACGTGCAAGGCAAGCATTGTACCAACCGAGCTATATCTCCTCTTTTTAAAGTAATTTTTTCCAAGCAGGGCTAAGAGTAAAGAAGGAAAAACAAGAAGAAAGCTTTAAAGGCACTCACACTTTCAGCATTTCAATAGTGATGGGAAGTGATCTGGTCCGACCCAAGGTACTGCTGTCCTCAGAAAAGTTGTCACTGTTCTCAAAGAGCAATGAATGAGCTCTGTGAGAACCCTCTAAAGGAGTCATGGGAAGGGGACTGGTCAGGGCCTGTTGAATTCGAATATGTAGGGGGAGTGGGGGCAGCCTACAGGGTACATGGGGCTCCCCAAAGCTTTGGTCCAATATCCTCTTGGGGACTTCCTTTTTCTGATCTTCCTGCTGGGGATCCTCCTGGGCAAGATCTAAGGAAGGTGGAATCTCAACTTCTGGCACAAGTTGAAAAGTCTTAGGAGGGAATGGTGGAGACCGTGGGGGCTCTGGAGGTGTATGAGTAGGCAGCGGGGGAGATGGAGAAGGAGGTGGGATCATCAGCATTGGTTCAGAGCCCACAGAGCATGTATTCGTCTCTTTTTGATCGCTTGGTGTTTTTGTGTTGATGCCAGCAGCCAACTCCGAGGTGGATACCAAGGTTGACAGAATGCCTCTCTTAGGTGGTAAGGGTGGGGATGGTTTTGATAATAATGTACCACTGTTTATTGCTTGGGACAGTTCAGCTGGAAAAGAGAAAGCAATACTTCAATTTAACATCGCTTTACAAAGCTTTGAGGGGCCAGCCCAGGTCTAAAATTAGAGCTGAGCTCAGTCTTAAATCTTTCAAGCAAATTATATAATTTGATGGCTTTGTCATTCCCTATATATCTTATTCTGAAACAAAATCTGTGTTTATTTAGGTAGAGGGCCTAATGAATATAGATATAGTAAAACTCGGCTAAGTATCTCATTTTGTTGCCATGATATGACAACTTTATAACTTGATGTTGGTATACAGTTATTATGAATAGAGACAAAAAAGGCCAATCAAAAGCTCTTTAGTACAAGAGTACTTAATTAAGAAATTTCAATATTCAATATTAATATTTGTTTAAAAAACACAATAATGATTCTTCAACTCTGTATTATGAAATTATCAATAAAGACATCTTGAATTTTTTTTTTTTTTTTTGAGACAGGGTTTGGTTTCATTAAGTTGCTGAGGGCACTGATAACTTGCTGAGGCATACCTCAAACTTGTGATTCTACTGTGTGGGCCTTTGGAGTCGCTGGAATTATAGGTATGCGACACATGCTCAGATGACATCTTGAATTTTTATAGCAAATGCAAAGCTCTTTAAAGAAATGTGCTTTTCTATCTTTAATGTCATATTCTCCTTGTATCACTTGAGATGATACCTGAGGTCACAGATGTTGGGTAACTACAAGCTGGCATGGACTTAGCTAGTATCCAGTCTGTGGTTACTAGACTCCTATTGTCTCTGATCTTTGTGTTAGCACTTCTTGTTGTCCCTTGTCTCCCATGTTCACTTCCCCTTACACAGTGGAATCCTTGATGGGAGGGGAACCCTTATATCCACCAGCATATCCACAGGGCTGTGCACAGAGTTTGGTTCAAGTGGGTCTTCAGTATGTTTATTATATGAGATGCCCTTACTCTGTATCATGATAGTATATATCCCTATGTATCCTCCCAAAGCCCACAATGACTCAGGCACTGATCCAGCCCACTGACTCCCTTGGGAGGGCTCCATGTAACAAGTGGATCATCACATAAAAAACAAATTAACCTTGCAAAATAATTAAAGAATAACTCTCTTTTATCATCAATCTCTAATCATATCTATTGTTTCTCAAATGGTTTCATAAGTTTTCCTGAAATAAAATTCTGTCCTAAATCTCATTCCATTGGGGACATTCAAAGTAAAAGGCTAGTTAAAATTCTATATTTTTGTTTGTTTATTTGATGCTACTGTGAACTGGACCCAGGGGTGCTCTACAACTGAGCTACATCCCTAGGCCTTTTTTATTTTTTATTTTGAGGTAGGGTCTCATTAATTAAGTTAGCCTCAAACTTGTAATACTCCAGCCTAGTCTATTGAGTAGCTGGGATTATAGGTTTGTGCCACCATGTCCAGCTAGCAATCTGTTTTAATAAGACTTGTAGGTGATCCTGTTGAGAGCATAAGTCTAGACAATGGTTTGAGAACACCAATGTAGAGAAGAGGTCTGGATTTGAGAGTTGAGTTTTTGTCTCTCACTAACTACAACCATGGTGAGTTACAAAGTCTTCCTGTTCTAATTGCCCTATCTCTAGAACAGATAAAATCAGTTTACTATGGTACAAAGTGGTTTTGAAAATAGTATGAGAAAGCTCTTCAAGTTCCTCAAAGATAAGTCAATGTGGCATTACCCATCTGAGTAATGATACAATAATAATCTTCATCCTGTTTTTATCTGGCCACTCCAACCTGTCATACTCATAATATATCCAAACCTGCTTTTCAGGATTACAGTCACTCCACCCAACTTGGTAATATTAGACAGTCAATGAGCATACTTTTTATTCATCAATTCACTCAGTAACTTTAAGCAGAAATAAGCCTATTATCATTTTTCCTGAAAAACTGTATTTGCATTAGGTCTGAAGCACTTATGTTACTCCTTCCTTTCTTGAAAGTTCACTAAAGATATACATTTATGTAAAGAAAATAGACCTAAATAATACTGTAGATAAATGCAAAAATTTACTAACCCCATAAAAATTTACTGATTACCTTCCCTGCTTTCTTGACTTATTTTAACATAAGAGTAGCATTTTTTATTTTGGTACTGGTGATTAAACTGGCACTTGACCACTGAACCACATCTCCAGCCCTTTTTTGTATTTCATTTAGACATAGGTTCTCACTGAGTTGCTTAGTACTTTGCTTTTGCTGAGGTGGGGTTTGGACTTGTGATCCTCCTGCCTCAGCCTCCTGGGCCGCTGGGATTATAGGTTTGCGCCACCGCACCCAGCAAGAGTGGCATTCTTAACTTTCCCAAGATAAAACATGATTTTATCACAACAATGTAAATAATACCTTTTGCAGTTCCCATGAAGATACTCTGCCAGGCACTGAATCACAAGTTACATAGGCATCTACAAAATCATTGTTTTTATCTACTGGACTTGCTCTTCCACTGAGTAAGCTACATCCCCAGCCCTTTTTAATTTTACTTTGAGCCAGGGTTTTGCTAAGTTGCCAAGGATGGTCTCAAACATGCAATGCCTGGTCCCAGTGTTTTTTTTTTTTTTTTTGTGTGTGTGTGTGTGCGTGGTGGTGGTAATGGGGATTGAACCCAGGGACAATCTACCACTGAGCTACATCCCTAACCCTTTTTCTTTTGGAGACAGGCTGTCACTAAGTTGCCCGGGCTGGCCTCAAACTTGCAATCCCTTCTGCCTCAGTCCCCAAGTTGCTTACAGGTGTGTGACCATGCCTATCAGATCCCAAGTTTTTAACTGACAAGTATGCCTTGCTTCTTGTAAGCTGTGGAATTATCCTAAATTTTTTCACTAAGTGCTACAGATAATTTAATGCAGGTTAAACCTGTTATGATCTTCACATATATGGTCCTTCAACTACATATATTGCTTTAAAATACTATTATAGGAAATAGATATTAGTCTTTCCATATATGAACTTAATTTTTTTTAAGGGCTGAAGATGGAACCCAGTGCAAGTACAACACCACTGAGCCATAACCCCAGCCCTGAACTCAGTTTTAGTGATATTTTCATCTGCCTCATTTTAAGAACTTTTCCCTATGCTGAAGACATTCACGATAATATACAAGGTAATAAACACTTTTGGTATGGATCAATATTATACCAACTATCCAATAAAATAACCATCAAAAACCAAACCAAAAATATGAAAGGCCTGAAGACTTACTTACCAATAACAGGGTTGCTATTTCTGTGAGCTGGTTTAGGGGGAGGGATAGGGGGCTGCTTGGCAGGGACCATATGAGAAAGGCTTGGGGTAGCAGTAGTGTTAGTGCTGGTAGGAGCAGCAGGCAGAGTCCTGGGTGCTGGGGAAAGGGTGACAAAGGAATTAACAGTCTTTGCTAGGTTTGTGGCAGCAGTGGTGGCAGCAGGTGCTATGTTGGTAGAAGAGGCGGAGGAGATGGACCTTGCCATGCTGCCAGAAGAAGTGACATCCTTTGCTGACCCTTCACTTGCTTCATGAGATGAGGACAATGGCCTTTTAGGGGGAAGTAAAGGCTGTTTTGGTACATTCTCAGATACAGACTCTGCTTCAGAATTAGACTGGCTTCCAATTGAGCCTGTATAATAAAAGATGTGATTACAGGGAGAAAATAACACGAGAAAAACTGAAGAGGCAAATATATCTATGAATTTACAGTCAGCTTCATCAATTCTTCCATTTATAGATCTGTTTACAGACTATAGTTCTCTGTTTTCTACAACACTTTTCCCCTCATACTGAAAATTGAAGCCAGGGGTGCTCTAGCACTGAGTTACATATCCAGCTCTTTTTGAAATTTTTTTACTTTGGACAGGGGCTGGGTAAGTTGCCCTGGCTGGTCTTGAATTCACAACATTCCAGCATAAGCCTCCCAAATAGCTGGGATTATAGGTATGTGCCACCGTGCCCAGTAACCCTCAACACTAAGTTAGTCTCAGTAAGAGGCTCATTATGATAGGGACTCTTTACACAAAGGACCAGACTACGAGAGGAGGCACAAAAAAATTCCTTCAGTAGAAGAAGAGAAGCACGTAGCTTGAAAAAGTCCCATTGAAATCTAATATATAAAATCTTTTCTCTCCTTAAGAATCACACATTTGGGGCTGGGGTTGTAGCTCAGTGGCGTAGCGCTTGCCTAGTACATGTGAGGCACTAGGTTCGAGCCTCAGCACCACATAAAAACAAACAGGGTTGGGGCTGGAGAATTGCAACTTAGAGGCCAGCCCCTGCAACTATTGAGACTCTTATCTCAAAATTTATAAAAGGGCTGGGGATGTAGCTCAGTGATACAGTGCCCCTTGGTTCAAACCCCAGTACCATAAAAAAGAGAGAAAAAAAAAAGAGAGAGTTACAAATTTAGGAATTTTGTGAAGAATTGGGGGTAGAGGGTTCCAATAAATGTTGTAAGTAGTTAACAAATTCATAAAGAAGAACATAATTCTCTCTGAATTTTAGTTCTTTTTTTTTTTTTACTGGGAATTGAACTCAGGGCCACTTGACCACTGAGACACATCTCCAGCCCTTTTTTGTATTTCATTCAGAGACAGGGTCACACTGAGTTGGGTCACAGTGAGTTGTGTCACACTGAGTTGAGGCTGCACCTCACGATCCTCCTAACTCAGCCTCCCGAGCTATTGGGATTACAGGCGTGCGCTACCACACCCAGCTTCGTTCTTTTTTTTTTTTTTTTTTTTGAATTTTAATATTTATTTATTTCTTAGTTTTCGGCGGACACAACATCTTTGTTTGTATGTGGTGCTGAGGATCGAACCCGGGCCGCATGCACGCCAGGCGAGCACGCTACCGCTTGAGCCACATCCCCAGCCCCAGCTTCGTTCTTATTTTCTCACAAATTTGTGTTAAAAGAGAATGATCCATGGCTCATAAATGAAAAATCCAGTATCTTACCCAGTCGTTTCTTTGGGTCCTCTTCTGGAAAAAGACTGTTAACACTTGCTGTTCTTACTGGTTCTTCCTCTACTAGGACTGGACTAGATGATCTGGCACTCCCTATGGGGGTGGTATGGCCATTCTTTAATACAGCATGACTTAACTTTCCTGGATCCTCACCACCTGCCAGGAGGAAAGAGCCAAGTGGCATGGTCAGACTGTGAGAACAGCTGGTGGTTTCTACCTTCTCTTATCTTCTTGTGTCCCTCTTCCTGTTTTAGCATATTATGTAGACCTAGATTACCTGTATCCTTCTAGTAATACTGGAAGTGATTTCTTTATAATAAATATCTTTTTGCCTATTATATGTGAAGTACCTTTCTATATGAATAAATGTAAGTGATTACAGTGCTGTCAAGAGCTATATTATGTGAAGGGCTATTGGGGTGGGAATGGGTTTGGGAAAGCTTGACAGAAAACAGTGTCTAACCCGAGACTCTGAAAGAGGAGAAGTCTACCACACTGATGAAAGACAGTCTATCTAGGAGGAAGGAAATGTATAAAGGTTAGAAATTATTGGACATATTTGAAGGACTGGTAAGTGATATTTTTGTATATAAGAAATGGTTATGGGTAGGACTGGATGGCCAACATAAGCAAGGCTACGAAGGATAACAAACTAATACTAGGAGATTAAACTGTCATTTTTCAGGCAGGCCCTATAAGAGGTGGGGGTTTAGAATGAACGTGGAAGAGTCTAAAGCAAATAAGTAATAAGCGAAAATGTGCTTCTAAAGATAAAGGTAGCTGGATACAGTGACCCATGCCTGTAGTCCTTGGAACTTGGGGGTGCTGAAGCAGGAGGATCACAAATTTGAGGCTAGATTGAGCAACTTAGTAAGACCCTGTCTCAAAATAAAAAATAAAAAGGACTGGGGTTGTAGCTAAATGGCAGAGTGAGCTGAGTTCTAACTCCAGTACTACAAAATAAAAAAGGGAGAGAGCAAGATAACTACTATAGTAAGTTATTGCATATGTAAAAAGAAGAGAAATAAAATGCTACCTATATATGATACTATAGTTTTACATTGCTTCATAAGAAAGCTCTGACATTATTAAACTAGCAATGAGTGTTGAAATATGACAGAAAATTAGGGCAGAAACATGGGCATGGAGACAAGCTTGATCAAGAAAAGGAAGTAACAACTACTGTGGCAGTTGGCAAAAAGTTGAAGTATACAGAGACAAGGAATGCTTGCCCAAGGATCCTTCGCCAACCACTCAAGAGTTAAAAGACACTTAAAAGGAAGAGTGAATTTGTTTAAAAACTCCCACTCCACCACAAATACAGCAATCACAAAATGAAGAAAGAAAATTCAAATACCTAGTTAGACCCAATCAAAGATGGAAGTACAGAGATAGGCATATGCTATTAATTTGAAACTCACCCTGCTCAGGGTCTTCCAACAGTACCCCTCTTTTAACCAGCTCTTCTCTTGGTTTTCGCATAGATATTTTTCGCTCTAAAACTAACATTGAATTGGAAAACGGCACTCAGAAATGTGGCAGTTGGAAAGTCAACATTACTCTTATTCTTAATCTACAGGTAAAAGAATAAAGTGGTTCAAATTTCTACTTTTTAAAAATTATATATTTTTATGTTTTTGTGGTACTTGGAATTTAATTGAGATGTACTCTAACACTGAGCTATGGCCCCAGGCTTTTTAATTTTTATACTCAGGATCTTGCTAAGTTGCTGAGGCTGGTCTTGAATTTATAAACCCTTTGCCTCGGCTTTCTGAGTAGCTTGGATTACAGGTATATGCTACTGATAATGCACCTGGCTAAATTTCTTCTATTTTTAAGAAAGAAAAGCACAGGGAAACTAACTTCAATTTTTAAAACTTATTTCTGGGGCTGGGTCCTCTTGGAAAAAGACTGTTAACATTTGCTGTTCTTACTGGGGGTGTGTAACTCAGTGGTAGAGCACTTGCCTAGCACATGCTAGGCCCAGGGTTCAATCCTTAGCAATGCCAAAAACCAAACCAAACCAAATCCAACAATGAAACCACATTAATTTCTTTCACATCCTGTCCTACTGGGAAAGTATCATTTCCAAAAGGAAGTACTCTTACATAATTGTAGCTTAAATGAATTATAATAGTAAGGCATTTATGGATGCACTTTGTGTTGAAGGGAAGTAGGCAAAGTAAAAAAGCAGTAGCACCTTAGAACTCTATTACCACTCAATAGATTCTAATCCCATCAAAATATAAACCTGGAAATAAGAATATAAGGCTTAGTGAGTGGCCATGAGCTGTTTAAATTCTAAAAGATTTAACTCTTGCTTTCAATTAGGGCACTACAGGACCTTGGGAAGAGATAAAAAAAAGTTGGGTACTTGTAAAATAGGGAACTCTTTAACTCAGAACATAAATCTTAATATCTCACCTTCTGATGTCTCTTTAAATTTATCACTACTTTTTTTTTTCCTCCATTTCCAGGGCTTGAAGATTTTGCCGAAGCCAGAGAACTTGCTTTTTCTTTTGGTGGGAGGTGTTGTGTCTCCAGCTTCCACACTGTCCATGACCATGCCTGGGTCTGCAGTGGGCTGGCCTGCTTCTTCTGTTACATGAAGAAGAGAGAGAGAAGGAAGAGAATAGCCAATTGATTATTTCAGCATCTCTCTAAAATGTTCCTTCCCTCTCTTCCTGTGGTAACTGGAAAGGATTGGAGCAAAAATAGACAATCATGCAGTCAGACTCCTGACATCACATGGACACCAAACATCAAAATACATATAAGATAAATTACTAAAGGAATCAAACTAGGGCTGGGGCTGTGGCTCAAGTGGTAGCGCGCTCGCCTGTCATGCGTGCGGCCCGGGTTCGATCCTCAGCACCACATACAAACAAAGATGTTGTGTCCGCCGAGAACTAAAAAAATAAATAAATATTAAAAAAAAAAAATCAGAGTATACCAATGTTAGAGACTCGGAACAGTGATAGCCCTGGCCGATCTGAGAAGGCCACATTTGTTGGTGGAGGTCTTCCGCACATTAAAATTCCATTTAAAAAAAAAAAAAAAAGGAATCAAACTAAACTGACATCTTTTTAGGGTAAAAATTCAGCAAAATAATCAGAACCAGGTCAAAATCTTTTAAAGGCACACACACACAAAATGTGGATGTCTTCCCAGTATGTATGACACATCGTGTCACCGAGCAGGAAACTCCTTGGTTAGTGAGTAATTATTTTGTTAAACACTGTCCTCTCTATGCCCTTTTTAGTGTATAAGGTAACCCATCAAGTTAACATAACATAACACCTTACTTGTGTATGTTTAGCAGGCTTTTTTTCTTTATGTCTTTTTTTTCTTTTTGTCTTTACAAAAGACTCAAGGTAGTTTTGGAGAATTGGAAGGTGCTTGAGATGAGAGAAGGGTATACTAGAAAGGATGTTTTAAAATGGAAGGAAATTTTTCAAAGAGTAGAGTGAGATTCCAGTCTGCCTATCATGGTATCACTTTAGGGACTGTCCTGTTGTTAAGGAGCTAACATGAAACGCTTTATGAAGATATATGTGCAGGATCAAAATGAAAGGCCGTGAGTCCCTCTTAAAATAAAGCATGCAGGATTTAGAAATAGTTAGCTTTATGGTAGAAAAAGAAGCAGCCAAGGCAGGGCCATGAACTTTTTTTTTTTTTTTTTTTTTTTTTAAAGCAGGAAGGCAACAAAAAAAGCAGGAAAACAACACAATACAACTTTGCACTCCACCTACTGTCCCAAGTTTCTCTGGAGAATTCTAGAGGGGGAAAAAAATCATGTGGAATAAGGGTCCTGGAATCAAAGTGGAACTATTTTATAAAAATGCATCAAGAAACACATGATGTATTTCCTATATAGTGAAGGGAAATAACACCTTTTAAGGGAAGGTGAGGTGTAACACATATACTATAAAAATTATCTTCTTTTAACAATGAAGATTTTTTTCGTAAGAGGAAATATACAACAGGTAAGTATTAATGCTTTTTTAGAAATAGTTGCCAAATTTGATCTTTTTTCAGTTGATAAATAGAAGTCTAGGGAAAATGATAAAGGTCAGATTTACACAATTATAATTATCGGTAACTGCAGTGATGACTGCTCATGCATTAGTGTGCTGTCAGAAGACTTCCAGATTCTGATTACTAAAGTGCAACAGAAGGACATGACACAGGACAGTAACTCTTTTCTTCCTAGATGCATGATTTATTCAAGGTTAACACAGGTCTTAATTGCATTAATTTTTTACACAAAATGCACTCGAATTTGATGGTAACACTGGACCATATTTTAAAAAGGTAGAGTGAGCTGAGTTCCATCCCCAGAAATATTAGGAGAATTTCTGATATTTCCCCTCAGTGGTACCTTGGAACAGACCCCAAGAGTGGAAGTAGGGTGAACACTTGGTATTGCTTTTGAGAGTTGGTATTTTAGTCAAATATTATGGCCCATGCCTGTAATCCCAGTGGCTCGGGAGGCTGAGACAGGAGGATCACGAGTTCAAAGCTAGCCTCAGCAAAAGTAAGGTACTAAGCAATTCAGTGAGACCCTGTCTCTAAATAAAATACAAAATAGAGCTGGGGATGTGGCTAAGTGACCAAATGCCCCTGAGTTCAATCCCCAGTACCCCTCCATCAAAAAAAAAGTTGGTATTTTAATTAAGACAGTATTTTGTCAAATATGAAATGTCAATGAGAACTGAAGACATTTCAAGGCATTCATAATTTTTTTTTAAGTACTGGGATTGAATCAAAGAGTGCTTTACTACTACATTCCTCTCCCTTTTTATTTTTAATTTTGATGAAGTTTCACCAAGTAGCTGAGGATGGCTTTGATCCTCTGGCCTCAGTCACCCAAGTTGCTACAATTACAGGTGTGTACCACTGTGCCCAGAGAACACAGTGGTGCACACCTGTAATCATATTTTTCTCATAAATTTAAAATGAGAAAAAGGACTGGGGATGTGGCTCAGTGGGGGAGTGCCAGCCTAGCAGGCATAACCCTTGGCTTGATCCCCAGTGCCACAAACAAAAATGCAGAATGAAATCCTTTTAAATCTATTTATGTCTTTCAGCATAAACTGGAAACAAATTTAGTTTGTATTAAAAAGTCCACTGTAGAGTCAGTCAGGCACAGTGGCACATTGCCAGTAATTCCGGTGATTTGGGAGGTTAAGGTACAGGAATTTCAAGTTTGAGCCAGCCTTGACAATTTAGCTAGATCCCATTTTAGTAAACAAAAATTAGCCAGGCATGATGGCACATGCCTCTAATCCCAGCAGCTAGGGAGGCTGAGGCAGGAGGATCATGAGTTTAAATCCAGCCTCAGCAAAAGCTAGGCACTGAGCAACTCAGCGAGACCCTGTCTCTAAGTAAAATATAAAAGTACAAAATAGGGCTAGGTATGTGGCTTAGTGGTTAAGCACCTTTGAGCTCAAAAATCCAAAAAAAAAAAAAAAAAAAAAAGAGCTGGGAGATGTTGCTCAGTAGTAGAGTACCTGTGTTTCTTTTCTTTCTTTTTTTTGGTGGTGCTGGGGGTTGAACCCAGGGCCTTGTACATGCAAGGCAAGCACTCTACCAACTAAGCTGTATCCTCAGCACTGTGTTCAATTCTTAGTACCACAATAAATAAACAAAAGAAAAAGCAAATGTCCAATGTATCCGAGGATGAGTTTAGTCACATCTATCACTAAGAATAGCTCTCCTTTTTTCCCGCCCCTGGTTACTGAACTCAGGGGTACTCAACCACTGAGCCACATCCCCACCTCTATTTTGTATTTTATTTAGAGACAGGGTCTCACTGAGTTGCTTAGAGCCTCGTTTTTGCTGAGGCTGGCTCTGAACTTGAGATCCTCCTGTCTCAGCCTCCTGAGCTGCTGGGATTACAGGCCTGTACCATGTCGCCAGGCAACAATAACTCACCTCTTTATGTAAAAAGGAAGTCACTGAACACATTACTGAATACAAACAACAACAACAACAACAAAAACAGAACAGTTTTTTCTTTGCTTTTGTATACAAATGAGCTTAATTTTCATGTTTATAAAACTCTTGTCTCATGCAGTGGGGTTCAACCACACCTAGTCTTTCCACAGTTATTATCCCCAACTCATTCTATTCATATTTTTATATTCTTCCTCCCTCCATACTCTCTCCACAACAAACAGAAAATTGTTTCAGTGACTCCCATATCTATCCAAATATTTGGAATCAGCCCAACTACCTTGTCAACACAGAGAATCTCCAGGAGTTAGGACCTAGGAATCTGTTTTTAAAAATCTCACCAGGGGCTAGGGACATAGTTTAATGGTAGAGCACTTGCCTAGTATACACCAGGTTCTGGGTCTCATCTCCGATATAAGCAGGTAGGGGAATCTTACAGGTGATTTTTATTTTTTATTTTTTAAAAATATTTATTTATTTATTTTTCGGCGGACACAACATCTTTGTTTGTATGTGGTGCTGAGGATCGAACCCCGGCCGCAGGCACACCAGGCGAGCGCGCTACCGCTTGAGCCACATCCCCAGCCCTTACAGGTGATTTTTTAAAAAATTTTTTTAGGTATTGGGGATTGAACCTAGGGGTATTCTACCACTGAGCTCCATCCCCAGCCCTTTTATTTATTTTTTATTCTGAAACAGGGTCTTGATAAATTGCTTAAGGCCTTGCTAAATTACTGAACTTGTGATACTCCTGCCTCAACCTCCCAAGTTACTGGGATTACAAACAGGCTTGTGCCACTGCAACTAGCTCCCGCAGGCTCTCGAATCCCCCGCCCCTCTACATATATATTTTGGAGACAGGTTCTAAAAATTGTTAAAGGCTTTGCTAAGTTGCAGGGGTGGTCTTGAACTTGTGATTCCCTTGCTTCCTGAATCACTGGGATTATAGGAGTGTACCACTGAACCTGGTATCTCCAAGTGATACTTATGGTAAACCAGGTTTGTTAATCCAATCCTAGATTATTATTAGGAAATCTCATACATGTTAAAAGATACAAAAGGAGACATCATGCTTCTTTGTTGAAGAAAAACAAATGTGAAAATTATGACATACTATAGAGTTTCCTACTCAGCAAAGTATTCCTACAGAGGAATTTGTGAGGTCTTTCTGGTGTTTCTAGTCTCAAGACAGTTCAAATGAACAAAAAAATTATTTTTCCAGATTTATATTATGTTCCATGTGTACTAATGAAGAAGTGTATTGTGCAGTTGTTGGGTGTAGTGTTCTAAATATACCAATTAGGTCAAGTGAGTTAATTGTATTAGACAAATCATTACTATTCTTTCTGATTTGCTGTCTTCTTGGTTCTATCAGTTACTGGGATATGAAATTGTTTCTTTTGTGGGGGGCGTATTGAACCTAGGGGCCCTTAACCCTAAGCCACATCCTCAGCCCTTGTTATTTTCTTTCTTACTATGCTAACATTTCTTAATATGAAAGTAGATTTCCCTTCCTTCCTCCCTTCTTCCTCCCTTCCTTCTTTCCTTCCATGTGTGTGTGTGTGTGTGTGAGAGAGAGAGAGAGTGTGTGAGACTGGGAATTGATCCCAGAGCCTCACACATTTTATGTAAGTGCTCTC